CCTAATATGAGCAGAGGAATCATTTAGACTTAAAGGCAAGGGTGCATGTGAAAAACAAGAGTCACTAAAGAACCAATTTGGCCCTAGCCGGTTTGGCTCAATGGATAGAGCATCAGCCTGTGGACTGGAGGGTCCCAGGTTCGATTCTGGTCAAGGGCACATGACCGGGTTTCGGGCTTGATCCCCAGTAGGGGGTGTGCAGGAGGCAGCTGATTAATGATTCTCTCTCATCATCATTGATGTTTCTCTCTCTCTCCTTTCCTCTCTGGAATCAATAAAAAAAAAAAAAAAAAAAAAAAAAGATGAGATTTCTTTAAAAGAAAAAAAAAAGAACCATTTGGTTGTTAAAATATTACCCCCCCCCCTCATTTCCCCCCACGCCCCCGCCCCCGCCCCACACACACACCAATTATATATCACGATCCTGGCTAAAGATATAGATATCTTCCCATATTATAGGCTCTATCGTGAAAAAAAGAATTTCTAAGAAAATAATCGAAATAAAATTTAATGGAAAATAATTAAACATGTGTACATTGGGAAATAGGTATGTGAAGTAAAAAGTACACTGGGCTAGAAATCAAGAGGCTTTATGGATTTAAGGACTTTAGAAAGTATATGCATGATATCTGAGGTCCAAAATATCAAATTAATTTATCCGAAGTCATATTTATTCAGCCAAAAAGATCAAGTGGTTTGTTATTTGTCTTGCCCACCCCTACCCCCCCACCCCCGGCACCAAACCAGTGAAGAAAAAAATGATGTAAGAAAACAACTGAATTTGGGAAGAAGGGACAGTGAACAGATAGAAAAAGACCACAGTAAAATAGAAGAAAGTGATTTTCTATGCTGCCAACTCCAGTGAGTATAATGACATTAGTTACTACGTCTTCTGACAAGAAAGACCAAGGGAAGGGGGAGGAGGGAGGGATTCACAGCATAAAATCTTCCTTAATTATCCTTTGCTTTTACAGAATTAAATGTGACCATAAATACTGACCACTTAACGGGGGTGAGGAATCTTTTTTCTGCCAAGGGCTATTTAGATATTTATAACATCATTCCAGGGCCATACAAAATTATCAACTTAAAAATCAGCCTGCTATATTGGGTCAAACATTTAATTAACTCACCCTTAATGCCTTGGCAGGGCCAGACCAAATGATTTTGGGGACCTTATATGGCCCTCGGGCCAGACATTCCCTACCCCAGACTTACAGCAAGAACTGAAATATTATACATTCTCCAACTTTTCCCTAGCCAGGAATAGGCTAAACTTGCCCCCCAATGTTTAAGTCTCATTCTGGTCCTACTGAAGTCCCCCTCCTTCCCCTTCCCCTCCAATACTTCAACTTCTCAAAATGACATCATTTTCTTCCCTCCAATAAAGAGATGAACTAACATGGGACTCCAGAAGCACATAAATAACATAAAAGGCTTTAAAATAAATTTGATTTAGAACTAAAGGCAGAAGTTTAAAAAAGGGAGAAAATTTTAAAAAATTCATTCCATTCATTAACATTTTCCTGATATAATCAATGAACATATCTTGAGCTCAGAATCACTAGGGCTGCATTTTGGAATTCTTCCATTCAATTAGCAAAACTGTTTTACTTGGGTAAGGGGGATTATTTCTAAAAGAATAACAAGACTATCACAATATTGAGTACACATTTTCTGCAAGACCTACCTTCTCACCACTTGAGTAGAAGAAATAACGCAATCGGACTATGTTACAGTGATCTAGCTTTCTCATGATTTGGAGCTCTCGGTTCTGAAAAGAAAATAGAAAAAAATATTTTTTAAAGGATAACCGCTATTCATCATATTGACTAACATTTCTGAAATAACAAACATTACAAACAGTAGGCTATAAATATTTTACCAAAAAGTATGGTCTATAGATCAGTGCTGACCTGTAAAGTATTTGTTACCAGTCCATAAACTATTTACTACTGCTCTGCAAATGAAATTAAAAGTTTAAAATCTTTTATAGTAATTTGACAGAATAATTTGTATTAATGAATCTTATAATAAAAAGTGGGGTCTATATTCTGTATTTCTTAAAATTTCATTTTTGTAGTAATTCATTTGTATTGTATTTTACAAAAATATCAGTCCTCAATGAACTGAAAATTTTAAAAACTGGTACTTTACCACAAAAAGCTTGAAAAGCACTGGTCTCTAATATATATATAAGAGATATCTGAAATGAGTTATTACTGCTGTAATTTTTATAACTATAATAAAAATCAAGCATCACAACAAACAAATAAATTTGGGTGCAAAGAAAAGTCTTACAATCCCTACTATTCTCTAAGATACAGTGAAAAACCTGAGAATTAACCCCATTAGAAAGGTTTATTTGCTAAGTTTTAGAGAGTTAAAATATGATATACTAGATACTTACTGTACAGTACTGATAAATTTATAGACCACATAAGTAATTTTCCCTTTGGGAAATTTCAAAGTTATGCTCATTTTTCATGGAAAGAAAACATGAAATAATATGATGACTTCCTAACACCATAAATTTTGCAGTATTAATCTGAAGAGTACATATTAACAATGTACTTGGGCTGTCAGAATCTATACTAATAAAAGGGAAATATGCTAATTAGACCAGGTCGACTGGACATCTTCTGGTCGTCTGGTCCTCCTTCCGGACAAAGCCACAGTGGCGGGGGCCGAGGCAGAGGTGGTTAGGGGTGATCAGGCCGGCAGGGGAGGGCGGTTAGGGGCGATCAGGCCGGCAGGGAAGGGCGGTTAGGGGTGATCAGGCTGGCAGGCAGAGTGGTTCAGGGCAATTAGGCAGGCAGACGAGCAGTTAGGAGCCAGCTGTCCTGGATTGCAAGAGGGATGTCTCCCAGATTGGACAGAGTGCAGGCCAGGCTGAGGGGACGCCCCCCTCCCCCCCCCCCCAATGCACGAATTTTGTGTACTGGGCCTCTAGTCAGTTAATAAAAACTAAATTACATAACAGAGAAAGAATACCAAAGTACCAGCTATGTAGACAGAAAATATAAAGTTTTCAGTTATAATAATGATTTAGAACAGAACATAAACATAAAATATACGCCTGGAAATCTGGAAGGGAAATGCTATTATGGTTAGGGGGGAAAGTCAAAAAAAGAGAAGTGGGAGAGGATGAGCTGAATAAGCAGAACTGTCCTAGAGCAGAGTGGGCTCCAGTTCTTAGAAGGTGGTAGCAGAAAGAAGTGAATGGTCCTCCTCTCTAGAGACTTCCAATAAGTTATTCTGATTGTTCTCTCAAGGAAACAGGAAACTCAATAAGACTCTTCTGTCCCTTTAAACTGACTATGAGAGCTGGGTTTATGTGTACAGTGATATTTAAAACTCTTTTATAAGACATCAATCATTCATATCATTACTTCTTATAAAACATTTATAGCTGAAGCAATAATCAAACTTAGTACAGTGTAACTGCTTTAACAAAGATAATGACTAAAGTCAGACTCTTTTGACTGTTTCAGAGGATACAGAAAACTTTACCAATTTCAAAATTGTGTCCATTTCCATTCCAAATGGAAGCTATTTCTGAAAGTATATCTATACTTTGCTAATTCGCATCTAGGTACATAGTTTTGTGAGAGAACTGCAAGTAGGCTAAGTTTCACTCCTCTCATTATATACGGATGCTAAGGTTGACATTTTTTTAAAACATAGCCAACCAACTATGTTAAAATAAGCTATTTATTTTTCCACACTCATTAGCCAATGTCACAGAGAACTATTAAATGCCCAGATAACATAAGTTGTATACAAATAATATATAAGTGAAGCAAATACATGGACCTAAATATTCATCTACCCTTATTCTTCAGTTCATATTCTATTCTTTTAAAAAGGAGGCTTACATTTTCTCATTTTAAAATTCCCTAAAAGATCCAAAACATAAAATTCATAGAGGAATATTTATAGGTATATTAATCAAGCCAATATTAGGCAAACAAAGTTCATGCCTAAAATGTATTTAAATATACAACTATGCCAAGCGTAGCCACTTTTACAGAATCATTCTTTATTAGTTCACTAAGGACATACGAATTCTATAGAAAACACTGTTATTCTACAAATATAGTGCACCTATTCTGTGTCAGGCATCATTCACAATATAAAGTGAACAAGACTAACAAAGTTCCTGCCCTCATCAAACTTACTATAGTCTATGGAGGACAGGAAGACATAAACAATATATTTTCACTTAAAAAGAACAGAGAATAATAGAAAAAAGGAAGTCAGAGCAGACCTCAAAAATGAGATAAAATCTGAACACAAATCTGAATGATATGAAGATGAGAACCATGTGAAGATATAAGAGAAGAGCATTGCAATGCAGTTATAGGACTCTCCAAATGTAAATACCTAGAGGTGGGCTTTGGCATATTTAAAAAAAAATAGCTTGAAAGGTAATGTAGCATGCTAAGTAAAGGGAGAAAGGTAGGAGATAAGTTCAGAGAAGTAGGCAAGGGGGTGGGATATGTCCTATAAACTCATAAATCATGATAAGAAACTAAATTTAAATTTCACACTAAATGTAAAGAAAAGCCAATGATGTTTTGACCAGGAAAATGTCATAATCTGATATATCTTTAATACTGAGACTTCATGTAGAAGCTGGGGCTGAAAATAGGCACCTGGGGGCCATCTGTTCTTCGGGGACATAAAGCAAGGGGATCCAATGGTATATCTATTACCTAGGAAGGAAGTTAGAAGAAAAAAAAAGTCATAGGTATAAGGAGTAGTGTATCATATGAGTAGTCAATGAAGTAGAATGAAAAACAGAAGAACATGTTATCTTAGCAGCCAAGTAAAAAAAAGAGTTTTCAGAAAAGGGGAGTAACCATTTACTATGTCAAAAGCTACTGAAATGTTAAGGTGAAAGCAGAAAACAGATTTGGATATGGCAAATGCAGGATGCCGGTGACTCTTACAAGAGTGACTTTGGTAAAATGGTTGTGACAAAAGCCTGACTACAGTGATTTAAAGTAGGACTGGGAGACAGGAGGAAAGGACTAACAAGTTACAAAGTTCAAAAAGAGGTGAGATTTCCAGCTATGGCTGAATGAAGAGATCTTCCCCCAAACACCTAAAAAAAGGACTACATTATAGAAAACAACAATTTCAGAGCTCTGGAAATCATCCAAATGCAACAAGTTGAGAAGCATTTATTCATGCAAAGCTGCTAGATGCTGGAATTAGACAGTGGGGGCCAGTAGCCTTCTTGCCAGGGAATATTACCACCCAGCTCAGACAATTTGGGTAGTTACTTTTACCACGGCAGGGTTGGCCATCAAAACCAGGAATTCTGCTTCTAGACAGGGCTATCATCACTTAAAACAGAGAGCAAAAACCCATTTCCAGTGGCAATGGCAGTAAAAATAGCAAATCTGACAGGAAACAAAGTAAAAAAAAGTCCACAGCTCTGCTACCCTTGAGGATGCAGTCTCAGCTGGGGAAAATGACAGACTGGCAGAACACTAAGAAATTGAACAGGGAGACCCTGGAAGTAAGAGAGACATAAAGGGGCTAAATAAGCTCTCCACATATCCCTGGCTCAGAAGCTGTACACACACAGGCAGGTGAGACCTACGAGGGCCTTGTAGAAAGCAGAGGTCGAACTACTGGAATTTTGAATGTACTTTGCAATGCATGTACAAGATCATCAAAAAATAGTGGAAGCTTTATGAACTCAAGATGTTTGAATACAATATCTAACCAATACCCAGCTGACCACTAAGCTATGCAGACAAAGAGTCAACCCCTAAGAAGGCTATAAAATAAAAATTAGAATAAAAATTTTAACACAGAATTCAGAGCCCTTGAACTGTGGAGGAGAAATACTATATATTATATACAGGTAAGTCACAAAAATAAAGAAAAACCCCAGGAGGATTTTAAAAAAATTCTACCAGAACTAACTGAACTGAGGGAAAGGATACCCAATTCTACGCTTCTCTAGACTTCCAAATAAGGGTAGGAAAATGCCCAAATCCAACCTCATCTAGCTTTCCATGTGGAAGTAGGGAATTATAAAACTACAGACACCTTTAGCCTTTGTCTCACCTAATTGGGGGGGGGGGGGTAGGGTGAGGGACAAAAAATGTGAGAAGCTCTTAGTTTTAAAACTGTAACACTTTTGAAGGGGGTTGAGGGGGGCAGGAAGAGATTAACCAAAGAACTTATATGCATACTAGAGGCCCGGTGCATGAAATTTGTGCGGGGGGGGGGGGGGTGAGGGTGAGGGAGGAAGGGTCCCTCAACCCGACCTGCACCCTCTCCAATCTGGGACCCCTCGTGGGATGTCCAACTGTAAACCGGCAGTCGGACATCCCTTTCACAATCCGGGACCGCTAGCTCCTAACCACTTGTCTGCCTACCTGCCTGACTGCCCCTAACCACTTCTGCCTGCCAGCCTTATCGCCCCCTAACCACTCCCCTGCCAGCCTGATTGACGCCTAATTGCTCCCCTGCTGGCCTGATCACCTCCAACTGCCCTCCCCTGCTGGCCTGATTGCCCCTAACTGCCCCCCCCTGCAGGCCTGATCGCTCACAACTGCCTTCCCCTGCTGGCCTGATTGCCCACAACTGCCCTCCCCTGCTGGCCTGATCACCCACAACCGTCCTCCCCTGCCATGACTCATCTCCTCCACTGGGACCCGCCTTCTCCGCACAAGGCAGTGGAGATGCCGGGACTGGCCTCCTCCACGCCACGCAGACCTCACCAGAGCAGCCACCGGGCCCCAACTCCAC